GCCATCACCAAACGCACCTTTTTCATCATCAAAAAATGAACAGATGACTCAAGCAAGCCCGTGGTTATAACCTGAGCCAATTTTTACGCAGTTTTTCCGACTGGGCATAGCGCCATTTCTGACACCCCTCACCGGCCAAGTCCACCCGGAAAGGTGCGAGTGAAAAAGCTCAGCGTCAAGACGCTCCTCCCTATCCTCAGGGAAGACGACATCGACCCCAGCGAATATGAGTCTTTGACCACCGAAACCCAGATCGCTACTGGCGTCGAAGCCGCCGAGGAAACCGTACGTCCGCCTCCGTCCATGTTTTTCATCACTCTGATATTGCGATGCCATATCACGTGATATGGCTTGGCATGTTTCCCGACATGTCTCCACTTTTACTCTCTTTCACTCACTCATATCTCATGGTTGCATGCACTCATACTGACCTTGGACTCTCAGGAATACCACTTGCAGTCCATCCTCAAGGAGGCCGGCACAAGCAATGACCAGGAAATTCCTGTTCCGCCTCCCCAGGAGAGCGACATCAACTATGACCAGCTCTACCCAGGGCACCACCAGCTCCCCAACTCCTACATCCGCTTCTCGCAGACTGTGGAGGAGAGCATTGGTGTGGCGTATGACATGACCACAGAGGACGACGAGTACCTGAAGAAGTACAACAGTAATAGAAAGGGTGCGGGCCAGCTCTCCGAAGATGACTTTGAAAAGATCATGGACGTCTTCGAGGAGATGGCCTCCGAGCACGCACCCTTTGCCTCCATAGACAACACCGTCGTTGGCTACGACATGATGGTGCAACCTCTGCAGCAGCTCGGGTCGACCAAGTTCATGAACCACGCGAAGCAGGTCTATGAATATTGGAAGACCCGTCGGCAGGAATCTGCCAACAAACCGCTGCACCCGACCCTGAAGTTTGAGACTCACCAAGACAGCGATGATACGGATCCCTACGTCTGCTTCAGGCGACGTGAGGCCCGCCAGACGCGCAAGACGAGGCAACGAGATGTCCAGAGCGCCGAGAAGCTCAAGAGGTTACGCAAGGAGCTAGAGGATGGTCGTCAGCTTGTGATCCTCTCCTACGAGAGAGAGGTACAGAAGCGCGAGTTCTTGAACCTAGAGCGCATGATCTTTGAGCAGCGTGCTAAGCTCAAGGAGATGAAGCTTAAACTGGGTATCAAGGGCGAAGATGACGACCTCTTCAACAACAAGGTATGTTGCGTCTGTTTGACCTTCCGTGTCGACGACCCTGCTGACCATTCCCACAGCCGCAGAAGAGGAAGGCAGCAGATGCGCCGACACTGCAGCGCCCTCCTGGAAGTGCCATGCGCATGGCTGTCCGACCAGATGGTCGGACTATGGAGGCCGATCTCGTCCAGCTTGCAGACAAGCTGTTGGAGAAGGAGAACGAGCTTCGTGCAGACGTGGAACAGAAGGTTCAGACACACCGCAAGTGGAACCAAAACCACATTGATCTCACACGCGGCCCCTTGTCCCCTGTCAGGGATGAGGGCATGGAAGTGAGCTTCCGACCCGCCAAGACGCAGTATCTCATGACGCCTCCCGCGTCCACATCGGAAGACTCCGATGTCATGGACGTGGACGATGAGCCTGCACCGGCGGCAGATAAACGTGACATGGCCATGTTCCGCTTCACGGCCGGCGGCGGCGGCGGCGGCGGCAAGGAAAAGCCACCAACACAGCAGCCGGCGTTCCGTCGGCGCATTGGCCGCCTGAACCGCCTGTGGATCGACCGTCGTGGATTGGCGTCACCGCCGAGAGAAGATGATGATGCCTCGGACCGGTGGAAATATGACCAGGATGACGACGAGGACCCTCCTGTATACGAGGTTGATCCATTCGATACTCGTGCATTGAAGTTCCGAGCAACAATCCCTCTCTCGCCGTTCATCTTCCCACGTCGACCGGTGGGGCCGGCAGAGGGAGGTGGGAATGGGTCGCAGGGTGCGGGAGCGAATGGAAACAGACCAGCGCTTCCACAACCACCACCGCAGCCCAACGCGCCATCGCAACAGGCTCCGCAGGCTTCGGCCACCCCGCAACAAGCTCGAGCGACGTCTTGAGCGGATGAGCGGTCCTTCCACACACACATATTGCAACGGTGCTGGTGGAAAAGTGTATAGTTGCAGCTGTTTATACCCGGGTCCTTCGTGTGGGCTCTCTTCCCTCTTCTCTTTTGCTTTGGGATATCAGCCGAATGGTGGCAGGCTGGCAGGCGGGCGGCAAAGGGGGTTTCGGTGGCGTGGCGTTTGGGATTGGCCCTCTGTAGTGTAGTGTAACACGGGGTTTGCATTGCAGTTCGGCGTTGGCGGCAAGTAGTCTGTGGTCGGAAGATCTTAGATGCATCAAAGCAATATTACAAACTTGTTGGTATTTGACTTTTTGTGTGTGTAAATTTTGCGGTTCGTCATTGTCGGACCGTGTGCGAGGCGTGATGCTTGCATGAACTTTGTGTTGCACGCTGAGGCTCCAGTAGTCGACGGGCGGCAAGCGGCCTTTGGAAGAACCCCGCACAGCTGCTCTGGTACGAATGCGCAGACGTGCGTTATTTCGGAGAGTCGAGATGTACTGAGTTTGGCTGTGGTGCGCAATAAGTCACCTGTCGCCGTCTCGTTGTTAGTCATTTCTTGCCTCCTTGGTTGGTCTCGTCAGTACGTACCAAACGACCCAACACACCAGGACATGGCCCGGCGCTTCACTGGCCCATAGATTTGCATAGTATACAGAGAGGACGTTCCACGGCTGCTGCAACTCTGCTGCTGCTGCTGCTGCTGATGTCGACGTCATGTTGCTGACGAGCATCCGCAGGCGACAGCGGCATGTGTGCATCGTGAGCCACTATTGCCCACGAGAACAAGAGCATGGAAGGACGAGAGAAAGAAGGCCGATGCGCCGGCTAGGGCAAGCTCCTCAGGGCGAGAACGCAAGCCATGGGGCTCAACACCGGAAGACTTGTCGCATTTCGCTTGCAGTCGACAGACGGATGTTGGTTTCCGGGCTGCCCACGCACCGGAGCAGGCTCGGCATCGCAGGAGTGGACGAGCGGGGTTGCCTTCCTGGCTGATGGGAGATACTGCCGGTAGCGTTGATGCTAAGACTCGAGCTCAACACAGGATACACAAGCGGCTCTCTCGTTCAGAACCATCTTGTTTGGCAGAGCCGTGTGGTGCGGTCTGTCGTCCCGAGGCTGGCTTGGCATCAGGCGGGTGGGACGACGTGCGACTGTGGATGCGACGTCGATCTTGCGCCGACCGTGGAGAGGATTGCGCAGAGAGGACTCGACAGAGAAACCATGTCTCCTGAAGCAGAGGAGGAAGAGAGACAGAGGGGTTCAGGGCCTGCGAAAGAGGGGAGAGAAGAGCTGGCGGGTGGTGTGGCCAGCAGACGTGGTGGTTGGGAAGCGGCACCAGGACCTCCGAATGGGCCATGACTCCGGTGCGCCGTGCTGCGCCGTGGCATGATCAGCAAGCGGGCTTGCGACCCATTGGGGACGTTCTGGCGACGGGAGCAGACGTCGAGAGACGCATGATGGTCTCTGGGACACGCCGGCGAGAGGTATAAAAGTCGGTGACAAGAGAAAGGAATTGTCGAAAGCTTGGTGGGCGGGCAGACGAGGTGGGTTCAGTCGAGCGTTGTGTCGGTAGTGAGATCCACTCGGCCGCGGGCACTTTGTGTGGGATTTGACCAAAACCGAGCATTTCGCTGGGTAGGACCCTTTGCGCCAGTGCCTGCGCCAGTGCCTGCGCCAGTGCCAGCGCAGCGCAGCGCCAGCGCCGGCACCAGTGAGCGCCAGGCTTGAGCCTCCTGTGTCAGCAGCCGCCAGCGGGGTGCCGGACCTGACGGGGATGACATAAGCGGTACCTAGGTGGGTAGACAGACCTGACAGGTACCTTACCTTAACTTGAGTACCAAGGTACCTACCTAGGTACCTATACGTGCCTGGGCATATCCACTCTGCCCCTATATCGTCTGCCTTATCGATGAAAGACGATCGGACAATTGCCCCTCCTCGCGACTGCCCCAAACTCACGACAAGATTCACGAAGAGACTCAGCTCGACAATTGTATACCCCCCTCTATACACGAGAAAAACACGCCACAACACCCATCTGTATCCCTTTTTCTCGACGGCACGCGCAGGACGTGAGACCGCGTACACATACCCACCCCCGATGCCCGCCTCACCCCCCAAGAGCCCCCGTAAACGACCACTCTCTCACGTCAACGGCTCACCTCCCTCGCCATCCTCCTCCAAACGCACCATGGCCCGCAAGTTCCCTCCAGGAGGCCACCTGGCGCTCGGCTGTGAGGGCTCGGCCAACAAGCTCGGCCTCGGCGTCATCCACCACGCTGCGACCGGCGAGGCGACGATCCTCTCCAATGTGCGCCACACGTTCGTGTCCCCGCCAGGCACGGGATCCTGCCCAAGGACACGGCGGCGCACCACCGCGCCCACTTTGTGCCGCTGGCGCTGCGGGCGCTCGCCGACGCGGGGGTCGGGCCCGGCGACCTCGCGTGCGTGTGCTTCACGCAGGGGCCCGGCATGGGCGCGCCGCTGGCGTCGGTGGCCGTCGGCGCGCGTACCCTCGCGCTGCTCTGGGGACTGCCGCTCGTGGACGTCAACGACTGCGTCGGCCACATCGAGATGGCCGCACCATCACGGGCGCCGCCAACCCTGTCGTGCTTCTACGCCAGCGGAGCAACTCGCAGGTCATCTGCCTAGTCTGAGCAGCGTTACCGCATCTTTGGCGAGGAGCTTCGATAT